GGTTATGAATTCAACCTGGGGGAGGAGGGGGGGGAGTGGGATTAGACTTAGGGAGTAAAGGGTATAATAAAGTATTTTGACTACAGCTTTCTTTTTTCAAACGCACTTTACAAATATAGGAGTTGTCAACTTTTTTAAGTCGAAGTTGACAATGTGAATGAAAATGAGAGGGATAATGCCTCGATTTTATCTGAAAGTGACAAGTGAAAGCACTAGTGGAAGTAGTCTGAACAATGAGAGCTCGAAGTGAAATATTATTAAGCGTAACGCGAATAACCGAGCCATGATTGATTTTAGTGCTCATCTGACGCGTCGAAAGGATGGCTCAGTCTCTAACAAAGTGGCTTAAAACCCATGCGCCTCGATTTTTTGCCAACACTCAACTGAAAATTTTAAATTTCCCGAAATATAAGCACTTTCACACGGGCAAGTTTTATTTGGAAAAGAAAATATGTTATTTATTTAAGAATTTCCCATTCAAATAAAGAGCTTTTATTCATGTGTTGCGAGTAAATCAATTTGACAAGTAAGATTTTAAAAATGCTTCTTTTTTTTTGTGTTGTTGAATGGACACCTTCAAACTAAAGTGCGCCTCACTTTTAACGAGAACATTCGCAAAGGTGGATCACGTGACTAAAACACATTTCTTAGCCGGAGTGATCCCTACGAATCCCTTTAAAATCAGTGAAGCGTTTCCCACTGTTTTTTTCTTATTAGGGTCGGGATGCTTCATTCCCCACTGTGTCGTATTGATTTTGTTACGTGTAAGCTTTGTACATGTAATTGTTTGCTCGAAGCGACACGAAAAGCTGCATCGCCAGAAGTTCATTTCGAAGAATTTTTGCGTCGGTTTCAAGGAATTTTTTCACCGGTTAGATAAAATAAAGGCAGAAAGGGAAGCGTTGAAGCCGTTTGCTTTTAGGGAGCATTTATTAGTATTGATTCAGTTGAACAAAGTGTTCATACCGACCAAAAATAAGCCTGAATAGATATAAAATAATAATCATATGCGAAACGCTTACCTTTTAGCTGACTGATTTAAGCCAAAAGGAACCTGTTCCTTCCACAATAATACAGCTACCACCTGAAGCAGTTCTAATAAACTGTCAAACGATATTTTCGAGAGAAAAGCAGACCCGAGCGTCTTTGCGGCATTTATTGTAGCATGTGATGCTTTTTTCTGACTTTCTGTCTCAAATTAATTGCGGTAAGAGCTCATCATTCGAGATTATTTTGAAAACAATAGCGCAAAACTAATTGCTAAGGTGTCCGGCTGATTGATTCGTTAATAGCCTATCACTTTAAGTAAATGGGTTATTTGATTTTGTCATTAAAATGAAATCAAACTGATGTGTGATAAGTAAAAGTTGACTTAATTCTTAAAAAAATATTAAAGCATCTCAAAATCTAAGTTTCTCATATTATTTTCTCCCGCTTTCTCGTAGTCTCAGAAAAATTAATTTTATTTAATGCATCACACAGTTATGCAAATTAAAAAACATATTAAAGACTGCAATAATTTGCAATTACAAATGCCATTTTCAAACATTTAAGCAACAGACCGCGCTTAATATCCGGGTTAACCGGTGTAGTTCGGCACTGCGGGATCACTCGCTGCCGGTAAGTGATTTTAAAAATTTTCGAGTGGTTACGCAACATCCAGAGTAGGTTAGTACGCCGGTAAAGCGATAGAAAGAAGCGGTCTATTACCTCAATAAAAAAATTTATAACAACAAAAGTATTTTATGGGTTTACCAGTGCGATAATCGATAAGTTTTTGGCCAATCAAGGCGCTCGTAATATCTCAGCCATGTCATAAAAATTGTTACAATACACCGTTACGTAACTATGCACTTCAATTCAAGGACCAGAAAATAAGATTTTTTTTTCCTATCAGTGGATATTGTTTCAGCATTTTGAAATGACGAGGAAAAGCGGGAAAGTTAAACTTTCACTGCATCCAGCTAACAAAAAACGTTAGTACTCACTTGGACCGTTTTTTATTCACAACGGTATTCCCAAAAAGTATCATTA